AGAGAGCTCTCTCAGCCCCACCTACCTCACAGGGTGTCTATTGTGGGGAGGGGAAAGGAGATTGTAAGCCGCTCTGAGACGCCTTCGGGTACTGAAGGGCGGGGGTATAAATCCAATCTCATCTCCTCCTCCTCCTATTTCGTTAAGATGCCAAGCAGGCCGCAAAATTAGAAAACAATGCAATAAGAAATAGGAGGACTACCCCAAGCAAATGGTAAACGAACTGGGATGTGCAGACCAGAAGGGCGTGCAGTGAAAACGAGACAATAATACAGCGAAGGAAGCCATCTTCAGGTCCCCCTTCTCTTTACACCCTGACCTGCACGGCCCGGGCGAGCCCGATCTTGTTGGCTCTCGGAAGCTAAGCAGGGTCGGCCCTGGTTAGTATTTGGATGGGAGACCGCTGAGGAAGTCCAGGGTCACCACGCAGAGGCCGGCAATGGCGAACCACCTCTGAGAAGTCTCTGGCCGTGTTGGCGGCGACCTGACGGCACTCTTCCACTGCCATTCTCTTTATAAAAACGCCCTCCCTGTCTGTCCCCCTCCCCGTTTTCCAGCTCAGGAGCGGTTGCCGTTTCCCTTGGCCTGGCTGTCACCCGCTAGGCCTTTTCCGGACCACTGCTTCCCCTTCCCCGAAGCGCCCGTCTTGCTTCGCCGGGCCTCCCGAGGTGCCGCTGGGCCTAATCAAGGGTGAAAATACAGGAAAAGGCGGCTATGCTTGGATGAGCCGACGTGTCCAGGAACCAGTGTTTCCCAAATATCTAATCGTGGCAGGCTGCCAGGAAGAGAGCGGGCCTGGCATTACCCATTGGGCGACTGCCTCCCCTTCTTAGAAACCAGCACGTGGCCCGGCGTCTTTGGAGCCACGTGGTACAATGTAGCGCAAGCACGCTGCTGAAATTGCGGTATCCTTGCGTCACCTCCAATTCCATCGGATGACCTGTAACTTACCCCTTTCTGTCGAGCCGAGCCACGCAGTACAATATGGCTCAAGTGGTTAAGACGCTGAACTGCTGGCTCTGGAAGGTCGGTCGTTCAGCAGTTCGAGACCCGAGTGTGCCGCATGACGGAGTGAGCTCCCGTCTCCAGTTCCAGCTCCTGCCAACCTAGCAGTTCGAAAGCAAGAAATTGCACCGCTTCGGTGGGAAGGTAACAGCGTTCCGTGCGCCTTGGTGTTTAGTCATGCCGGCCACATGACCACGGAAACATCTTCGGACTGCACTGGCTCTTCGGCTTTGAAACGGAGATGAGCACCGCAACCCTAGAGTCAGATTCGACTGGCTTTCGAGCAAGGGAACCTTTACCTTTACAATAAATATAGGAGCTGCGGTGGCTCAAGTGGTTAAGACGCTGAACTGCAGGCTGTGGAAGGTCGGTAGTTCAGCAGTTCGAGACCCGAGTGTGCCGCATGACGGAGTGAGCTCCCGTCTCTAGTTCGAGATCCGAGTGTCCCACAAGACAGGGTGAGCTCCCGTCTCTAGTTCCAGCTCCTGCCAACCTAGCAGTTCGAAAGCAAGAAATTGCAAGTAGATAAATAGGTACCACTTCGGTGGGAAGGTAACAGCGTTCCGTGCGCCTTGGTGTTTAGTCATGCCGGCCACATGACCACAGAAACGTCTTTGGACAGCACTGGCTCTTTGGCTTTGAAACGGAGATGAGCACCGCAACCCCAGAGTCGGATTCGACTGGCTTTTGAGCAAGGGAACCTTTACCTTTACTTTTCAATACTTGTTATCATTGATCTGGACAAGGGTGCGGAGGGGCTACTCATTAAATTGGTAGTTGACACCAAATTGGAGGGAGCAGCGAACAACGAGATCCGAGCACATTGGAAAAGTGGGCAGACGTGAACGAGATGCAGTTTTAACACGGATAGGTGCCGAGTTCTACATCTGGGTAATGAAAATGGGGGGCATGCGTACTGGATGGCGGGGGACACACACTTCTGGGTAGCTATGTGCAGGGCTATTTTTGGGGAGGAACCCAAGGGAAA